GAAGGTACCCGATGTCAACCTCAGGCCTCCACACACCCACCCACACATGTCCACAAACATGTAAACATGCATAGACACAAAAATAATTTTTAAAAAATAAACAGAAAAACCCAAACATTTGTTAAGTTATTTTTTATCTATACCATTAATTTCAAGTATGAAATTGAAGATAGAAATACACAAAGTCTCCCATGTTGCAATCTCAAAAAAGTCCTACTGGCCTCAGGAGTGGATTGTGTTGTGTTCTGGGTTACTGTGTAGGAATAACAAGGAAACATCTCTTAAAATGGAAACAAAAAAAAAAAAAAAACAAAATAAACAAAAAACCATTAAGATTGCTTTTGTTGTTAAGACAAGGTCTCATGCAGTCTAAGTTGGCCTTGAACACTAAATAGCCAAGAATGGGTTTGAAATTTCCATCCTGACTGGCAAGATGGTTCAGTGGGTGATGATACTCGATGCCAAGCCTGATGACCCGAGTTTAATCCCCAATACTCACATGGTGGATGAAGAGAACTGATACATGCAAGTCATTCTCTGACCTTCACATGGACACTGTATTGTACACAATACAAAAAGTCTGATGCTTCTGCCTCCATCTCAAGTGTGCTAAGGGTTACAGATATGAGCACCATGCCTAGTTTAAATGACATTGGGGATCAAACCCAGGCTTTGTGTATGCTAACTCTCTGAGCTACTCAATTGAATCGAATGTTTTTCTCTGTCCACATAACCCCACTTTCTTTTGTCTTTTGAGACAAGCTGGTCTTGGACTAACAGTAATCTTCCTGCCTCCTGCTGTGATCACATGTGTGTACTATTATCCCTGGCTGGGTTGTTTTTCAGGTTGTTTCTTCTAGGTTTAAAAAGAACCCATAAACTTAAAATAAAACATATTTAAACAAGCAAAACAAACTTGTTTCCTTACTGTAATAACATTTGGAATTGTGATTTAAACTGAGGAAGACCTCCCTGACTCCTGCACCTAGAAAATAACTTTATTTTAATCTGTCTTGAGAGGGTGTTATCTGCAGGACTTCAACATTCCTCCTAGATCTGAATATTGGGGTATACACCTGCCACCCCAGCACTTAAGCAGAGAATCCCAGGCCTAAGTGCAACTTGGGATACATAGAGAGACCTTATCAAAAGGAAATTTGTCAAGCTGGAGAAATGGCTCTGAGGTTAAGACCACTGGATACTCTTACAGAGGTCATGAGTTCAATTCCCAGAAACCACATAGTGGCTCACAACCATCTATGATAAGATCTGGTTCCCCCTTCTGGCCTATGAGCAGAACACTGTATACATAATAAATAAATCTTTAAAAAAATTGTCGATCTTTACCTCAAAATGATCTACTTTTCACTCTATTTACTACTATTCCCCCAAATTTTGTACATTTTCATCACACAGAGTGTGACTATAGGTGCATGGGTGAACTCATACCCAGAGACATACTTGTCTCAAATCGGGAACATGGTTCTTAGTTCCTATTTAAAAGGAGAAGGCAAAACACTTTGACCATCTGATTCCCTTGCTGCATGTACACTGCAAACAGGGCAGGCATTCAAATGAAAGGGCCAGAAGTCAGATTAGCTGGATCTTTAAACATATTTAAAGAATACAAGGAAACAGTCATTGACACATATCTGCTCTTGGAATTTCCACTAAAACAATACATTTGCTTATTCTCCAGCACATGTATTGTATTTAACACTTGTGTGAACAACAGCCCTGACAACACAGAAACACCTCCCAAGTGACCATGGGACAATACAGTGCTCCCCAGGAAGGAAAAGCAAGCCTAGCCCACATCGACACAGGTATGAAGCCCAAAGATATACACTCTTCTTATCCACCCTGTTTCTACCGGGAATGACAGCAAGTATGACTTTGTTTTCCCAGAATACTTTTCAAATTTGACTTACATGAAACATCCTGAGAATTGGGTAAGCAAACTTCAAATTTGTTAATGTCACCACTGATAACTTTCTTTTAAAATCATGACTATAGTTTGTCCTCGGGAAGCTGGTATGGTAAAATGGAACTGGATGTAGGGTAGGAACCACATTCACTATAAACTCAAACACACAATTTGGGAGGTGAGACAAACAAACCAAACGTCACTACTTCTAAGAGGTAAGTGAGGATAGTGGGAGAGGGAACTCTTGAGAGGGGGCTTTTGTTCAAACAGAAGTTGAAACATGGGGTAGAATGAAGTCCTGTCATGAATCATGCACTTGTTCTTGTTTACCCTTTCCTTTTTTACCCCCCCCCCCCCCCCCAAAAAAAAAAACATTCCAAGTAAATCCTAGGCACAAAGTAATGAACTGAAAGTGCTTTGTAGGCAGTTTCTAGTTTCCCAATTCACATGCTTAAGGCAGATAATTTGAGTAGTCATTTGCATTTAAATTGTATATTAATGAGATCCACCTAGTTGACAACATTTATATTTTTTATCTCTTTATACAGGGTTTCTCTGTGTAACAATCCTGGCTGTCCTGGAACTCACTCTGTAGAGCAGCCTGGCCTCAAACTCACAGAGATCCACCTGCCTCTGCCTCCTGAGTACTGGAATTAAAGGCAAGGGCCAGCACCTCCCAGCTGACAAGACCCTCATGGTTTTTCATGGAGTGGGAGCTATATAAAAAACAAAAAAGTAAATAAACCCCCAAAGAGACGTGAGAGAAAATGAGGGCTCGAGAGGGCTCAGGGGCTAAGGGAGTGCACTTCCAGAGAACTGGGGTTCAATTCCCAAACCCACATGGTGGTTTACAACCACCTGAAACTCCAACCCCAGGGGGTCCAAAGCCCTCTTCTGGCATCACAAGAGGGCATGAATGTGGTACAGACCTACATGTGAAACAAAACACCCACATACATAAGAATAATTTTTTAAAGATGAAAACATTATTTATCAAAGAGTTCCCAGACACATTGGTAAGAGGGAAAAAAAAAGTTGCAAAATATAATAAATTCTATATAAAAATCTTAAATTCACTTAGACTTTATGTTTATACATAAATATGTATGCAAAGACATAGCAAAAAGGTATATGAGTGTATAGTAACCAGCAGTAGTTACCATCTGGGAGCAGATTTCAGAGGTCTGCCATTAGCTTTCATTTCCAACACCCCTTAAAATGTACTATTTGCATAACTAAATATAAAATCAGGAAAGCTTACATTTCTAGTACTACATGTGCTGGTTTCCTTAAAACAGTTTGAAGCAAAATCAGCTTCATCAAGGATTAGTTTTCCTTTTTTTTTTTTTTTTTTTTCCTCTCTTGAGACAGGGTTTCTCTGTATAGCTTTGGAGGCTTTGGAGCCTATCCTGGCACTCGCTCTGGAGACCAGGCTGGCCTCAAACTCACAGAGATCCACCTGCCTCTGTCTCAGACTGCTGGGATTAAAGGCGTGTGCCACCAACGCCTGGCCTAGTTTTCCTTTTTTTAATCCTGCTCTTTACTATCCATTGTTCTTCACCTGTTCAAATGGAAGTAAAGCACATTAACTTGAGGACTTCAAAAAGAGACGACACAGCTACCAGAAATACCAAAATCAAGGGAACTGGTATACTGCAAATAAAGGCCATTTAAAAAGTCAACCACTGGCCAGGCATGGTGGTGCATGCCTTTAATACCAGCACTCCGGAGGCAGAGGCAGGGGGATCTCTGTGAGTTTGAGGTCAGCCCGCTCTACAGAGTGAGTTCCAGGATAGGCTCAAAAGATACAGAGAAACCCTGACCAAAAAAGCAAAACAAAACAATCAAACAAAAAAAGTCAACCACCATCTTCTGACTTGTAGCATTCAAGGGATGAAGGTCTGAGCAAGGGTACCACACAACCCAGGTTGGCTGTTCTTGTGAAGCACATAGGTTCAAATCCCAGCACCCGTATGATGGCTCATAACCATCTGTAACTCCAGGTCCAGAAGATTGGACACCCTCCACTGACCTGCATGGACACCAAGCATGCATGTAGTGCAAAAACATACATGCAAGCCAAACACCCATACGCACTTAAAAAGCAAACTTTTAAAATGGACAAGATACTTGGCATGGCTGCTCAGTAAGTAAAGGCTAACCACCTAGAACCCCTATGGTGGAAAGAGAGAACTGACTCCCACAAATGTGTTGTGGCTCACAGGCATCCATATAAACATACACAAAGTAAGTGAAGAAACACAAAAATTAAGAGAACAGTTTGAAGTGTGAGGTACATCATTAACTTTCTGTCTCTGTAGAGGAGAAAATGATGAAGGGTCACCCAGACTTTCAGCAAACATGATACATACATCCTGAGTAAGCAAAAGCAGTGCTCAGGGTCTATCAAATGCAAGAGTATCTGTTTAGACAAGAAGCAGTTCTGGTTGAAACAGGAACCTCTTGAAAGAACTCATAATTTGGGGCTTGGGAAGGAAGCTCAGTTGAAGTGTTGGCCTAGCATACACAGGGCTCCAGGTTTGATTCCTCAGTACCACACAAACTGAGTCTATGGTGCACAGCACTCAAAAGGTTGAGGCAGGAGGATCAGGAGGAATGCAAGGCATCCTCAGTTACATAGCAAGTTTAAGGCCAGCCTTTTTTCTTCAGTGTTATAATACTTACTGCAATTGGAAAATTATGCTCAAAATTGAAATTAACTGGTTTTCTTGAAAAGAGAAAGGCCATTAAAACCAATATATAAATGTAGCATGAATTTTGGTCCATAACACAAAATGTATTACTGTGTTACAGGTATTAATGAACAACAGCAACATAGTAGCCTATCATGAGTGGCCCATAACACAATGTATTATTCTGTTAAGGTGTTAATGAACCACAGCAACATAGTCTATGAAGAGTGGCCCATAATACAATGTATTACTCTGTTACAAGTGTTAATGAACAGCAACATAGTATAGGCCTATGATGAATGGTCTATAACACAATGTACTACTATTGCCAGGTGTTAATGAACAACAGCAACATAGTAGCTATGATGAAGCAAAGTACATGTAGCTCAGTATCAGCTTTAATTATGAAAACCCGGACAATGCATTTTATAATTTAAAAAAGTATGTAAAGTCTCTTTATAATACATGATTGTGAGCTTCCTATTGGTCACCCTTTCCTGGAGAATTTCAAGATTCAAAATGGCCACAGGACGTAAAAAGATAATTTGGAAGTTAAAGGAACAAATCAAACCACATCAAGAGATAATATAATTACCTTTGCAAATGCCACCTACATTATCTGCAAATAAATAATGAAGGTCCATTGTGTAGAAGGCTGATGACATTTATAAAACAGAAAATTATAAACTATATACTAAAAGACATAAACAGTATCACAGTCTATTTTAAATGCTCTAATTATTTGGCACATAATTGTGTATCTTGCCTTATCGAGAAACTATCCCATGATAAAAGCAATGTATTATCAAAATGAAGATAAACATTGTTGGATTAGAGTTTTATACATATGTGACGTCTATCCTATCTCCTTCTGGACTTTATCTTTTATTACTGGAAACCAAAAGAAAAAAACTTAAAAAAAATCATTGTTTTCTAACACCAAAGAAAAATAATAATTTAGGGCTAGTATGAAAAAAAGATTTCAATACAGTAACAATCATAATCTTAGGGTATTCTTAAGAGACACCCCAAACACAATAAGTATGTGTATTTCATATAACAACATATTTTCTTTTCAGATTACTGCTCATCCCCAACTGTTGCAGAAGACATTTTTAAAAACACCCTTCCATAACCATAAAGCAAAACAAACAGCAAGCTACTCATTACAAAAATGGTGACTGTATACATTAACATAATAATGAAATTAATGACTATCTTAAACTAGCTTTAGGTTATGTGACCTGTATATACTTTTGGAGAGTCATTTAGCATCTAATACACACCACTATGCCACCTTTGCCTTTTCCTAACAGCACAAGTTATTAGGATAGGAACACAGATAGACCAGAAGAAGGCAGGACCAAGAACACTTTGCTGGCCTTAGTCTATCATTGCTTTATCTTTCTCTTCCACAGGCATTCAGCTGACTGATTCTTTTCTTTCCCCTCACTCCACTTAAGGTCCTTCATGCCTTGGAGCACAGCAGGTGTACTGTATTACGTGTCTGTTATTCAGTTAGCATGGATCATAACTTTAAAGAGAGAGAGAATGAGATGTGTGAGGTGGAAACAGTACAGAGGATAGTTTCTAACCCAGGAATAATTACCTCCAAGTCCAGAGCAGAGGCTCCTGTATGGACTTGATACTACTGACAGTGAAAAACTCAAGCACAGCCCTCCAATGATCAAGTTTAACTTGTTTTAATTTCATCTCTAGTTTAAAAAAAAATAGTATTCTACTCAGGCGAGGAACGTATATTTCCTGTCTACAACAGTAGGATTGGCAGCAGTCTTTACTCTTGAAAAAGCCAGAGCATAGGAACAAATTTTCCAAAGACTTGTGGTTTCTGCTGCCCCTTCTACCCCTGCATAAACACCAACTCCACAGGGAACCCAGGAAGGGCACAGCACAACCAGTCTGCAATGGGACACAGCTGTAGCTCATTTTCTTGACTTTTCATTTCTGACCATCTTCAGGCACACAGCAAAGAGTCAGTGTTTTGCATCTGTCAAGGTCGCTAAGTAAATAATCTAAAGAGAGGGCTCAGAGAACACAATGCTAAATCCCTACTATTTAGATGGTAAGGTGTCAAGTCATTCAACTTCCCACCTATTTGGGAAGGTTTAATCTACTCCTAAGAACATGGTAGTATTCACTCAGTGACCATCACATTTTCGTGTCTTCAGAAATGCTTACTAATTGCATTACTATACTCTAATTCTTAGAAGAAGTAAATCCAGGACCATTCCATCTTATCTTACACACAACATTTACTAGTTTTCCAAGCATGACAGAAATGGGAAAATATATATATTAGAACAATTTATGTTAATTTCTACAATCTGTCTCTTCTTCGAGCAGTGCCTGATTCTTTTTTAAATGAACAAATTTCAGTCCAATGCTAAAGAAAAAAAAATTCAATATGGGAGTAGTTACAAGACAAACAAGAATATGATTTTATAATAAATCTTTCCAGTGTTGTTGTAACTGCATTACAAAATGCTTCTTCCCATAGAAACTGAGATAACTCTTAGAAATACAACTTTCTAAATTCATTTCTGAGAATGACCGATTAAACATCCTCATAAGGGATCCAGAAGTTGCTTCAGAGGCATAAATTACCACTCAACATCCTACATAAATAAGCCTTGGTCAGTGGCTACTACCTGGGACCCCTCTTCTCAGACCAGTGAATCCATTTCATGGAAAGCCCTACAGGAAACTCAAATTGTTGCAGAAGTGAAACTTGGCAAGCTCCACTCAAATTCTTCTAAGGTAACTGTTCTAAAACAAAATTGGCAGAAGAAATCTTGTTTAATAATAATAAAAAGGCAAATGCTGCTTTTTGATCACTGGGACTTACAGAGGCCAAAAAAAAAAAAAAAAAAAAAAAAAAAAAAAAAAAAAAAAAAAAAAAAAGTGACAACAGTAATAATTCAAGTAAAGTATGTGTAACTTTAAACACGCCACTGTCACGTTAAGACAAAGTGAAAGAGGGTGATCACTGTAACAGAGTCAAAAAGCTTAGGGATCGTCACCAACAGCTAATTCACTTTACAGTCACCAATAAGACAATTGTATATGTTTTTGCACCTTGCGCTTGTAAAAGCAGATAAAATATTTAATATGTAATTTACAATGTATTTTACCAGCTCAGCATACAGGATGTTTATAGATTATATCAAAGTAGTAGACAGTTAGGGGCCTGTGCAAACCCTGCAAAAATAGAACTTCAGGTATCTGCTAATCAAAAACAAAAACAAAAACAGTATGCTGTTTAGAAGTGATACAATTCAAACTACCACAAAATACAAAGGACTGCAAAAATGTATACCATTCCAACATCATATATAAGTTATTAAATAAAGATCTGATTTAAAAGAATATAAATGAAGCCTTTAAGTAGGTCTTTTCTACATGCATATTATTCCTCATTAAAGAAAAAAATATGTAAAAAGGCCATTGGTAATTGCTTTGTTAACATTTGTAGAAAATGCCAATTCTCTGGTCACAAACTCCACTAAGTTTAGCACTTAAGGTCTCTTCAGTGTTATAAACGTAATTTAAAATACTGTTAATTCTAACTCCATTGGTAAAATGACGTGACTTGGAATATGGCAGTCTTCATGTTGAGGGCAATGATCCACAGTTCTGTTTTGTTTGAGTTTCACACGTGAGCAGTTATCCAGAAGAACAGCACCCTCCACTACCGCTCTGAGCTTGAGGTTCATCGTCGATGATCTGCACACCTCGACGAGCAGGTCCAGCTTGGCTAGCGCCATTGCCTTTCGCCCTCTCATCCACTTGTGCTGTCTCTATCATTCCTGAAAGCAGAAAGCATACATGAGTACCAGCCCACAGTCTTTGAAGTTTTCTCTTTCTGCAATTTCAATATTCTGCTGTGATAGCTATTCCTGACTTTCAATCAACAGACATGGTACATAATCTCTTGTGGTAGGAATAACTTGAACTTTAGCCTATTTCTGATGTGTTTGAAAAATCTCAAGATTATACTTCGAGTACACAGTATGTATAACAGGTGTTATACTTTCTCTATTCTGGTTTTAAACCTGTTGTCTTGAGTTGACATAGTATTCATTAACTTTGGGGCACAGGACTTATTTTAGAAAACAGTATTGGGAGACTGGAGAGATGGCTCAGTGGTTAGTAGAGCATACTGCTCTTGCAAGTCCCACATCTGGAAACTAACAACTCCTCTGGTTTCCTTTAACACTCATGTGTGCGCGCGCACACACGTAATTAAAAATTATATATACTAAAGCAAATGGTATTTGAAAGAGTAAGAAGAACTTAAGGGGTGGAGAGAGGTTCAGCAGTTAAGGGTGCTTGTTCCAAAATCCTAAGGACTGGAGTTTGGATTCTAGCACCCATGAAAAGGAGGCAGATATCCCAACAGAAGCCTACTGGCTTTGAGGGGACAGAGACAGGAGGATGGCTGGGGCTTGCTGTTTCTAGCTGGTTTCTATGCAGTTGCAGGTTCAGAGAGAGATTCCTGACTACAAAGACAAGGGCAGAGAATGACAGGAAAGAGGACATCCATTGCCTCTTCTGTCTCCTTTTGCATGCACACACACAGACACACACAAAAAGCATCTTAAAAAAATAAAACGATGAATGAGCTTCACAGACAACTGAAGTAACGTATATACACATATCTATATGTGTAAAGAGAAATAATCATGTGCGTGGTACATAGTATAAAACTACGTGAATTGTAGTACATGTAGTAATTCCAGTACTCAGAAGACAAAGGCATGTAGATTTCTGTGAGTTCCAGGCCAGATAGAGTTACATGGTTAGAAACAAACAAAACAACACATCAAAACCCACATGAATCCTGACAGTGAACAGTTGGATGCTGGGAGCATGTGCCTGTAATCCCATTACTAGGGAGGTACTGGCAGTAGGATCAGGAATTCAGAGACTGTCTCTGTTACATAGAGTGTAAGGCTGATCAAAGTGAGATTCCATCTCACAGAAGGGGGACAAAGAGAGAGGAATTTTTGTGAGTTTGGCTTAGACAGAGATTTCCTATATAAGACAAGTCACAAATTCCTAAAAAACAAAAACAAGCAACAACAACCTGACAAATTGAGCCTTATTAAAAAGTAAAACATCTTCTTTTTGAAAAACAGTTTACAAGAATGAAAACCAAGACACTGAGTGAGAGGTAACTTTTGCTAAACACTTAATCAACAAGATGAAGGAAGGTGAGAAAGGGAGTCTCTAAAACGATACAAGTTTTAAAGTCTGTCTGTCCAGGGGACAGCTATTAAGAACAGTTCTCAAGCTGGGGTGTGCCAGGCATTGTAGTGAGATGAAATATCCTGCTTCTCCTTATTCAGTCTTTTAAGTTTTCCACGTCTCGGTATGTTTTAGAATGTATGAAATGGATTTATATTAGTATTTTATATGTTAACAGGACTTTAAAATGAACATGTGGAGAATATTCGTAAGGCATGAGATTTATCCCAAATCTTCTATTTGAAATAACATCTAAGAACTTTAAGTATCAATATTTGGGTGCTTGTAGAAATGTGAACTTCAGGCCATAACAAACCTACATCAAAATGTGTTTTACACAGACCTACACATGGCTGTACACACCAACGGTTACACACTGCACTTGTTCTCAGACCTAGTGTGCATGGGAGGCCTTAGCACCAGCTTTGCCTCCTCCAGACATCTGATTCAGTAGGTCTGGGATGGAAGGTGCATCTCTAGTCATCTCAATCAACGCTAATACTGCTGACTAGAAGGAGACCTCATTATTCTAAAGGAATTATGACTTCAGAGTCTTAAATAAAATTTATCATAGTTTGTGTACAGATACTTTTTCTTTATAGAGAGCAAAACTAGTTCCATCAAATCATCAGAAGAGGCCCACAAATGGAAATACTGCAATTGGACACTCACTCACTGTGCTCCATAGACTAGCATTCACCTAAATGTAAGCACTGCAGTGGCAACATGAGAAAAGAAGTTCAGGTTATATTTATAAAGAAATTTGTTTTTCTCTCTCCAAGAAAACCTTCTAGCAAGAAAATTTCTAACATATGAAAATGGAGAAAAAGAGCCTAATAAAAGCCCATCCTCTCATTTTACCCACATTCTACGTGTCTTACCACTATTTTGAATCAAGTCCCAGACATTTTACTCATGGTTTACTTTAATATGCATCTCTAAAAGAGAACTTTTAAAAGTGTAACCACATCATAATGACTCCTAAACAGACCAACCTTTATTTATTTATTTATTTATTTGTTTATTTAATTTGTTTTTTTTTTTTTTTCCGTGGCAGAATTTCTCTGTGGCTTTGGAGGCTGTCCTGGAACTAGCTCTTGTAGACCAGGCTGGTCTCAAACTTGAAGAGATCCGCCTGCCTCTGTCTCCCTGTGCTGGGATTAAAGGTGTACGCCACCAATGCCCGGCTAATTCCTGCTTTCATTGCAGAAATTGGCAAATATCATTCCAGAAAAATTAACAAAGTATTTTTTTTTTTTTCTGAGGCAGGGTCTGGAGCTTGTTTTGTGGACTAGGGTAATCTCAAACTCAGAGATCCGCCTGCTCTGCCTCTTGGCTAGAAACATTAACAACAGTTGTAAAAGCCATTTGTAAACTACTAAGGAGGGTACACATACTTTTACAGAGGTCAAGGAAGAGTTCCTCAATTCCTTTGTTTTGTTTAGCAGAAGTATGATAATGTTTTGCTCCCACAGAATCTGCATACCTTAAAAAAGAAAAAAAGTATTGTCAGTCATTGACATAAAGCCCTGGAAGCTTTCTACAATAGCAATTTTAATGACTAAATTTATCTTTATTGACTTACTAACTTACCCAATCTTCATTACAGAAAGATTATTTAGGTATTTCTCTACATACTGAACCAAATTTAGAAAGGGGGGGGACAGGATTGGAAATTTTTATACACTAATTTGGAACTGAAATACTTTAAAAGTTTTTGTGATCTCCTGCCATTTAATCTTGATAGCTTTCTTTCCTACCAGTCTTTCATTTTTAGTGAAATCAAAAGAGAAACGGAGAAATATCTTACTCTTGCCAGGTGACCAGCACTTCGAAGTGCAAACAGATTCCTGAGAACAAGAGTTCAGTCCACCAAGAATGAACTGTAGGAGGTTTGTGTACACACTCTGAGGGGTTTATGCCAGCTAACTGTCAAAGCCCACAGTAAGCTGTTGTCACTGGGGAGCAATGGGAATGGGGAAGCATGACACTTACGACTCTGCTTCTTGGATAGAAACATGTCTCTCCTTTTCCAAGTCTATTTTATTACCTAATGTGAAAAAAGGAAACACCGATCTTAATACTGATTTATTTTTAATAAAATTAGACAATTCTAAATACATAGTTGTGACTAATTATTTGAAAACAGGAATTCCCATCAGATTTTTAAATGTCTTAATCCCAAAGATGTGAGGGCTGTTCATGCTCATCAGGCCTGCATCTCACCCTCCTGCAACAGTTCAGTGTAGACACGATTTAACTTTCAGCCTGTCAGAGGAAAGTAATCTCTCTTCCAAAGAGAAGAGTGAAGGGTCTCTACTAAGTACAGTGAACTATATATACATGGGGTTTTTGTTTGTTTGTTTGTTTTGGTTTTTGAGACAGGGTTTCTCTGTGTAGCTTTGCAGGCTATCCTGGCACTCGCTCTGGAGACCAGGCTGGCCTCAAACTCCGCCTGCTTCTGCCTCCCGAGTGCTTGGATTAAAGGCGTGCACCACTAACGCCCTGCTACACATGGTTTTAAAAAGTCTCTGTTCCCTAATCGGCTTAAAGCCCATCAATAATTAAGTATAATTACTGGTTACTAAAACATAGCAAGCTTGCCTCATGGGCACTGAAAGGGAACTATTTTCCTTGATGACATGAACTAATCAAAGGAAAATTTTTAATGTATGAATTTTTAAACTGCTCCACCACAGACACTATGGACATTGTTTATGAAACAATTTTAGTGACCTTACAGAACTCAATATATGGGTCATGTAGATTTGAAATTACTGTAAATGAATTTAGTCTTTCTTATACAAAGGAGTTAAGCCAAGGTTTTCTTAAAAAGCAAGCAGAACCAAAATCAAGATACTTCAGAAAAACAGACTCTTTATTGAGTACTGGACAGAAGTTCAGATGACCTGGGTGGATACAGGGTCAGAAAAACAACAAATTGCTGGGGGGGGGGGCGCTAAGGAAGCACCCTTTAAACAAATGGTTTTATTTCTTCTGTTTTAACATTTAGACAGAATAAGTAAACCTTATAAAGTAATAAGCAAAGCACCCAATGAGATGAAATGTTTATCACCAACAAGTCAAGAGGTGCTATATATTGAAGACCTCAAATAATCTAAGCACTTAATTGCTGGCAGCTTCAACAAACTATTTGTCTTCATTACCCAAGGAAGAGATTATGAGGTAAACACCAAAGTCAGTGAGCTCCAACCAACTCAGCAATGAACCCTAGTCTCTGAACAGACATGCTCAGCTACAAGTACTACATTCATTTCACTTTCTACATTATAGTCTGTCAATAAAAATTCAACCCAATAAATAGCCAGTATACTGAACAGTAATCAGATAAAGCAAGCTGCTTATTCCACAAATGCAAGCAGCACTACCTGGTGTCAGGTGTCTCCTATAAAACTTCATTACAGAGCTGGAGAGATGGCTCAGTGGTTAAAAGGGCATACTGCTCTTCCAGAGGACCCTTTTGAGAATCATGAACTACCTGTATCCTTGAAGTCAAAACTGTTCTAAATAAATAAAAAAAAAAGTGTACAAATAAGTGTACACTTAAGAATACTGGCTTATTAAAGCGGTTCATATACTCTTCCTTTTTCTTTTTTTTAAAGAACTAAAACTTCTGGTGAAAAGGCAAAAGTTGAGGCAAGCCTGGGACCCTCACTGGTTCCTAGGGTTAATCCTTGAAATACAAGGCTTGAGTCTGCTGAAAAAGTCAACCCCAACTCTAAAAGAGAAATACTAAAATGTCATAATTTTTCATTTCTGCTATCTCTTTTAAAAAGATTTGTTTTGTCTTTATCAGGAGACAAAGGGCTTTAAAATAAACTAGTAGTCATACTTACCAACTATACACAAACAGATTTCATTTCCCAACATTTTCCGTAGCTCTTTGACCCAGTTTTTTACCTGTGTACACAAAAAAGCAAACATAACAGCAAATCCTATTGGAATTAGTTCCACAACACCTAAAATCTAAGGGTATATCAAAATACAACTCTAATAACAAATTTTTATAAATTTTCCTTACATCCAAGCAAAGCTTTTGCAAGAACAAAACTGTCAAGTCCAGATCTGGTATTAAGATACTTGTAACACAGTCACTTTGGACTTAGAAGGTATGACCCTAGTCTTTTTGATCAAACCCTAATTGATTCCTAATAGATACTTCTATGTTATAGACTTAAAAAAATAAAAAAGTATGTGGGTACTAGAAAAGTCTTTTTGTTATAAGGCCAGCCATGTATAATATGTGACCATTTAGCAAAATCCCTGTCCTCTACCAAGTAAAGCCAGCATCATTCTCCCATGGTGTCAGCTAAGTATGTCTCCAGATTTTTATCATTCCATGGTGTGAACCTTTGGCATAGGATAACTGGACACTGGGGAAGAAGTTCAGCCCTGATACAGGTAGACATAAACAGGAATTAACAATACTAATCTTTTAAATATTATAATTCGATAATGGGTTCACAATCAAACAGCATGCTAAGGAACAAACCAGGATACTTGCTTTCACTTCTTGTGAAATTTAATTTATATGCAATCAAGTCTCACAAAAAGAATATATACTTTGCGCCGGGCATTGGTAGCACACGCCTTTAATCCCAGTGCTCAGGAGGCAGAGGCAGGCAGATCTCTGTGAGTTGAAGGCCAGTCTGATCTACAGAGCGAGTTCTAGGACAATCTCCCAAGCAATACAGAAAAACCCCGTCTCAAAAAAACAAAAACAAAACAAACACACATACACACACATAATCTCACTTTGCATAAAAAACTATACTTTAAAAATATTCATTCATTCATTCATTCATTCATTCATTATTATGTATACAGTGTTCTGCCCAGGCCAGGAGAGGGCACCAGGTCACATTACAGATGGTTGTGAGTCACCATGTGGTTGCTGGGAATTGAACTCAGGGCCTCTGGAAGAGCAGCTAGCACTCTTAACCTCTGAGCCATCTCTCCAGCCCCCAAAACTACACATTTTTAAGTTGAACTGTGCACCTGGACCCATGACAAGAATGTTTTGCACTGCTATTCTCTACAAGAATGCAAAGGAACTGTCTTGATTAATCCTTATAAAAGCAAAGATAATTATTTTCATCTTATAATAAGCCACAACTTTCTCAGTATATCTCAATATGTAAATAAATGTACATCTTCAATATGACTACATATTGATAACTAATAGTCACCATTTATGCTCATTTATGTTTGCTTTACTGTTTAAAAACTAGTCATCGGTGAATGCAGACACCAAACAAACAAAAAACCCAGAGTGGTTTTTTGTAATTAAGTCATCTCCCCAAAAAATACCTTCTGAAAGGAATCTTCATCCGTTATATCATAAACTAAAATAGCTCCATTCGAATCTCGGTAGTAAATTGGACCCAATGCATGGAATCTCTCTTGACCTGCTGTATCCTAATAAAGAACAAATGCTTATTAGAGCAAAAGTAAGCATATGGCTGCTATTTTAACTACAATGAACTTTTAATTAATTGGAAAGCAGGGCATATAGTCAAATATAATTCCAAAAACTATTAAAAGAATCAAAACAAGTTACAGAAAAACCAAATGTTTAAATGTCATGTATGCTTTACTGTTGTACTCTTTCTCCTTAGCTCTCCCCACCCCACTAAAAGACCAGCTCAATCACCACTCCATGGTTAAAGTAGGGGGATCTGTCCCGCCCCTAAACAGAGGAACTTTGTAATGCATAAGAGACAGAAGAGGGCACACTCAAGATCAGGACTACTTGCTAACTCATGCCTGATCTCCACTAGCTACTCCTGGCATATGCCAGAAAGAGAATGCAGGCAGGCTGCCCCATCAACTCTCCTTTTTGCAACTGAAAAAATCCTAACAGCAATATTTAGATAGAAAGCTGTACTCCAAATAGAATTCTACCTAGATTTTTAAGGAACTTTTTAATTAAGGAAAATGCCTTTGGCTAACTAGCAAATTCATTTACTTTTAAAAAAATAAATTCTAACATCCAAATTTCTGTTCCCCAAGTCCTTTAATTAGAATATTTCTGAAGCCAGGCATAGTGGTACACACCTTTAATCTCAGCACTTGAGAGGCAAAGATAGGTGGATCTGTGAGTTTGAGGCCAGCCTGGTCTCCACGGGATAGCTACAGCTTCATAGTGAGACCCTGTCTCAAAACAAACAACAAACAGACTATTTCTGAATACTTACCCATATGGCAAGGTTTACTCTTTTTCCACCAATATTTAACTTCTTTGTTAAGAAAGATGCCTAAAATAAGAGAAATACATGTTAAACAAAGTTTCATTTAAAATTATATCCTTCACCCTAACCACGAATGAATGAACGAATGAATCATCTTCATATCAAACTTAGGTTGTCAAAAGAAAAGGCAATCACTGAATTTTCAATTTATGGCCAACTATTAATTTCATTAAAGACAAAATAGTCATACTCTAAGAAAAATCTATTTGTTTTATGAAAATGTTATCAAAACTATAAGAAAATATAAGAAAAGCAGCAGATGTCACTTGGTGGTAGATGAACAGTAAAATCACTGGGAGATGGCTCAGTGGGTAAAGCACTTCTCAAGCACATGTGAAAACCTGGCACGATGACCTGAATTCTCCTTCCCAGAGCCCACTTAAACATATGCACAGGAGAAGCACGCATGTCTACAATCAAGGCACACCTAAGGTAACATGGGATGCACAAACAGGAAAATCCCAGCCCCTCTGTGTAGCTAGCCTGGCCTACACAGTAAATACCAACAAAATATCATCTCAAAATGTGGTAAAGTCAAGGGCTGACACCCAAAGTTGTCCTCCAACTCCCACACATACATTGTACTACATACATGCATGCACACACCATAAACAAACACATATTCTAAAATAAATTTTGAAACAGGGTCTCACTGGGCAGCCCTAGCTGACCTAGAAATCACCATGTGGACCAGGCTAGCCTTTAACTCAGAGAGATCCTCCTTCTCTGCCTCCCAAATGCTGGAAATTTAAGACACACACACATTTTAAAAAATAATAAAATACCCATAAATACACCGAAGCAAACAAACAAACAAAAACTGGTGCCTGTTTTTTTTATGCTTTTTTTCCTTCCTGTATATGCAACATTTTTTTCCTAAAGCATTTATCTATTTACTGACTAAAAAGAGTATGTAGAGTCGGGCACTCGGGAGGCAGGGCAGGCGGATGTCTTTGAGTTCGAAGCCAGAATGGTCTACGAAGCAAGTGCCAGGACAGGCTCCAAAGCTACACAGAGAAACCCTGTCTGGGAAAAAAAAAAAAAAAATTATATATATATATATATATATGATTCCGAATATAGCCAACATTGCTGAAAATGGTTCTGTGCCTGTTTACCATGTATCTCTGTCACAGAAATGAAAGGACATGGCTCCAAGCTTTCCAGGGGAGCTTAGTCCACTAGAGAATGCATGTACACAGAATACATTTTTGTTATACTGACGGATACAGAAGATCCTGTCAAGTACACTATAAGGGGCATGCTGGGAAAGAAAGTTCAGTGCTTGCCTGGGTGAGTTAAGGTAGTGAATGATCTCTCCATTAGGTGTAGTTGGAATTTTTCCTAACCATAAACAAAGCCACTGAAGCCTAAAACAAATGAAGTCACCCTCAGGGGATCTCCAAGTTGGTATAGTTAATGCCAGAGTGCGACCACATAAATGAGGAAGGGCTAAATCAAAAGATCCTAGGACTGTGGCTCAGAGTGCTCTTGGCAAATCAAAGAGTTTATACCACCAAGGTGGGCAACCTGAGACCACCTGTAATTTTTTTTAAGCTATGACGGGCCTGGAAGACGGCTAGTGATTAAGAGCACTTTGTGCTTGCAGAAGACCCACGTGCAGATCACAACCACCTGTAACTCTCAGTCTAAGGGATATGGCACCAGGAATGCAGGTGGTACACAGATATACATGTGAATAAAAAACCCAAACACATAAATAAATCTTAAAATTAAAAGAAAACCCCCAGGAGTATGAACTTTATCTTGTAAACCTTTACTTTTTCTCTTTCTCTCTTGAGACAAAGCCTCACCTATTCCAGGCTGGCCTCAAACTCACTATGTAGACAAGAATGACCTTGAACTCCTGGTCCTCCTGCCTCTATCTCCCATGTGCTGAGATTACATGTATGCAACAATCACCTTGGCTTATGCAGTGCTAATTATCAAACCTCAGATTTCAAGCACAGGGCATGCACTCTACCAAATGAACCACATCCTAATCCCTCTCCCCTTGTAGGTCTTAATAAAACCTGTCCCCAAAATACTAGAAACAACCCACCCCCCCCCCCCCCCCCCCGCAACACACACACATACACACGTCAGGGATATTTGGAAAATGATATATAATGCTTTCTGAATATTCATAATATGTCAAAAGGAAGGCTGGCTAACTGCTTTTACACAAGCATTCCCCTAAATCATTTGTCTCACTCCTGAGTTTCTTCTATATAGAATTAAATAACTTCTTCCCTCAGGAAGTTTCTATTTATACTAGGAAGCACCTTTGAGAAAGAGCACTGAGGGCATGGAGAATCACTAAGGGATAAGACCTGGGAAACGCATTAATCTTTTAAGAGAATGACTGTGGGATTGGAGGCTGGATTGAGGACAGGACCAGAATGGAAAACAGAACTCTACTACAAAGTTAAAGACAAAACCAAAAACTCAGACGATGAAGCTGTAGGACAGAATGAAGACTAAATGAAGACAAACAGGCTGTGGGAGCACATGCCTATAATCTCGGTTCTTAAGAGGGCTGAGGCAGGAGGATAAATTCAAAGTCAGCCTGGTCACACAGTGAGAGCCTGACTTAAATAGAACAACTTATCAAACAGGAAATATACCCAGAGTCCAGAATTAGTTGACATGTTTTTAAAAGGAAGAGACCAGAGTTCTGAAACATGGCAAAGCAGTCACATGCAAGTTTATCTACAGAGAGAAAATTGCAGAAGGCAAGATGGTGAGCATGGCAAATTTATGCCAAGGAGAAGAAATGTGTATTCCAAGTGTGCTAGGGCACACCGAGGAAAATCTGTACTCAGGAAAGCCTGTGAATTCACCGACTGAGGTGTCCATAGTGGCAGAGCTCTGGGAAACATAGGAATAGATGTCTCCAAGGGACAAGCTATAGTACTGCAGATAGTTTAAGTGAAATGAAACATAGATTGTATTAAAAAGAACAACAAAAAAAAATACACTGAAATGGCAAAGTATCGAAACTTAGAAAATGAGGCCACTAATTAAAATAAATCAATAAAAGATGTCCCCCACTTTGTAGCACAGAATCTAAGAAAGTGATTTTTAATTTGAATCTCACTTTGCTTCTTACTAGCTATATAATTTACTTGAATTCAACACTTCTCAATATGGTTTAAATATCAGTGCCTTGTAAAAGAAATCCAAACTGAGTCCTAGCCAAATTCTGTGATTTTTCAAAAATGTATCTAAAACTAAACTGATTGATCTTCCCTGCAAACTTTGTTTTGCAACTTCAACATTTTGTCTCCAAGTCTTTAAGCTTAATCCCCCAGCCACCAGCCCCAGTGTGCGCATGTGTACATGTGTGTGCACATGTGTGCATGTTTAAAGACAGGGTCTTACCATACTGCACAGGGTGGTATTGATTTCTAACATTATTTGCTCCTTTTGTCTTAAGTTTCCTCAGAGGCTGTGACTACAGGCTCACACCACCGTGCCCAGCTATCTCTAAGGTTTAGAATCTTTGACTCACCTTCCTCCGTTCCAGTCAATACCCCGCCCTGAAACTTCCCAAGTCTAGTCTTCATATTTTCTGTGGAGCTCTACAACACCTTGGCCTCACAGCAAGTCCTTTGATCTCCCCATATACTATGACATTACCCTACATGTAAAATTATCTCCCCCATGTCTCCGTATAAGATTCACGTATTTCAAAAAAAAAAAAAAAAAAAAAAAAAAAAAATTCACGTATTTCACACTGGATCTCTCTAGTCTGTACTTTCTGGGAACCTAAGCTGTAGCACCTGGAATATTCTGTCTTGCACTGTAACTTATTTTTTCAGGATATAAGAATTCTACTAACTAGGTTACATTTTTTATTCAGTCTTTTTAGACTAAATTAAAAATAGGCAATATTTTTTTTTAAAAAAGGCAGTATTTTAATAGCTTTCCAAACTATTAACTTATTTAATTCTCAAAACATGCTTCGAGTCAGGGATAATTACTACACAAATATTTAGTCATGGAAATTAAGACCCAAGGAGACTGTCTTACCCAAGGTCCACAAGTACCAAGTGCAAGCTATAATCTAGACAGTCTATGAACAACTTATAACCAGCAGACTTTGGTACCTCCTAGACATGCCCAGGAAATCTGGAGGAGCTATAACACAATTTATGTAAGAAATGCGTTTCTAAAAGTTTCTTTATAAACTGACTTTAATTTTTTTTTTAATTTAAAAGTTTTAGTTATCTTTCTTTCCTTTTTTTTTTTTTTTTTTTTTTTTTTTTTTTTTTTTTT